ACCTAACTCAGCACCTCAGCCCTTAGTTTGTACCTATCCTGCTGCTCTTCCCCAAAACCATCCTCTGAGCCTTGCAAACGCCCTAACACACATGGCTATGGCAGGGTGCTGTTCCTGTGTCTCCTGCTCCTGTTCCTTACTCTACAATTTCTCCTCAATTTCTTTTGAAGTTTAAGATAATGCACAACAGAGCCAAAGACAGTCAGGAGAAAAGCTCTATGAGTGAGCATATGCAAATGCAAACAAGTTAGTTTTTGGAAATCTACTCTTTAGAGATGCTTAATGTGCATGAAAATCACATAACACATGCAAATACAATTTGCTACTTTTATGTGTAAGCAGGAAAAATACTGAAATACAAACCAAATAATGACAAATGATTTATTACCCTAATTACACCTATCAAGGAGAGACGATTATAAAAAAGGTGCAATGTTTACATGTAAACTGTATAGCGAGATTCAAAGTAGTATAGATGGAAAACAAAGGCTTCACGGAAATAGAGAAACCTCTTACTTTAAGAGAATTTAAAATGTAGTAAAATGTGAAAGAATTTTGACTTAATAAAAAATGTAGGAGTTGAAAAACTGGCTAATGTCAAAATAAAATTAAAAAATCGCTAGGGCACTCAAAATTTACTGAATACAAGAGCAAGTGTTTGACATATTCCAGCTGAGTTTGTCTTAACAGCAACGCAACAATTGTGTCCCACTCTCTTTTTTTCCCAAATATCCTTTTATTAGACCAAAAAAACGCATTTCCTTTCCTTGCCAGGGAACATAAGAGCTTAAAGCAACCACTTCAGCCAAATAGCAACTAGCATCTTCACACAATAGCCATCTTCCAATTTGATGATACTCAAGGAACAGGTATTGATGAGGCTGAAAACGCTACAGCACCAGCCTGACACTTCCTAATCATAGCATGCTTATGCTGACCACAAGCCATAGCTGCAGCCACGCTGGTGATACACACGTAGCTCCACAAGATGTGTCTGCACATAATCTTAAGACCTTATGGCAGAACAAACAGCCAATATACAGTTGAGCACTAAGAGCCCTTTTAAGCTTTCACTCTTGCAGAGCCCTGAGGGATATGTAAAATGAACATCCAGCAAACACCAGTGAGTGGCCAGGGACAACACTTACCCAGAAACCAGCTTTATCAGCCCCCTTGAAAGAAAGAATATGAACCCTCAGAACAACTTTTTATTGTGATCCTGCTATTTTTAATGAAGAGCAGGAGGATTTATGTAGGATAAAAGAGTAAACTGAGTCAACTTGCCCGGAGTATAACCCAAGTCTACAGAGCAGCACTGGGTCAGACAGAAATTGGGCATCTAAGAACTGAATTGAATTTGTATAAACAAACAAGCTTTATTTACTGTATTCCTTCATAAAATCCCAGGCTTGGAGTCTGCATGTTCATTAAAGAATCCATTTATGTACCCTTGAATGCTTATTTAAGCAAAAAACAAGAGAGCTTTCCCATGGAAACCACACAGAGATGTTTTACTTCACACGTACACCACAAACAAGGCTGCTAACTTTCCATAATTTACTGTATTTTCTTAGGCTTGCTATTGTACTTTAGGACCATATCTTTTGGAGAAGCTGCTGACACAGGAGGCCACAGATATATAAATAAATTACCTAAGACAGGCAAAGCTTGAGATGTGAACTGAGAGGAAACAGAATCTCAGCAGCTTGTAAGAAAACGGTGATGTCTTTGGCTTCCCTGCTCCTGGCTGGAGGAACAGGTTAAAATTTTGCATTTAGCTGAGAAACGAGCAATCTGGAGGCATTTGGAATCACACTGTTTAATCAGGCCTTGATTTGTCCCTTAGAATTAAATCAAGCCAGAGGGCAATCCCTGGGCTAAGACAATAGCAAGCTTCAGTTACCAGATGCTATCTCTCAGTGAGGAATCTAAGTCATTGGGCATCAAAGGAGCCAGGTGATTTTAAAAGCTGCTGGAAAAGGACACAGAGAAAGAGAAACTCGATTTCATGGACTTTATCAGACAGGCATAAATTGGTCCAATCTTTCCATCAAGAACATGAGCAGTTTTTCCCTGTGAATGAAGAAGTTCCTCCTAAACTGATACTCTGATTTGAGAACTTGCCTCTTAAATCGAGGTCTAAGTGTGAATGCATACAATCTACTTATATATATATATATATGCATTTTAGGGGGGTAATTTTGCTCCTCCTTACAGTTACTACTGATTGTCTCAAGGCTACAGCAAAGGGTGAAGTCCCAGCTTCAAAAGAGATGCCTACCTCTGCTGGGGGCCACAAAGATAAGCAAGGATACCAAGACTTTCAAGTTTAGCCCTGAGTTGAAGGCATTAAATGGGCTCACCTGGTTGGGAAAAAAACCCAACAACCCTGGGAGAAGGCTGGGCACAGAGTCAAAGTCCCTTTGGCATGAACTTATGACAGCTCTGCCTATGAATAAGCAGACTGCGTCGAGCTGCTGAAAACAGACGCAGGGCTTGCCAAAATTGAGGACAAGGAAATTGCTGACTGGTGTAATTTCAAAGCTGGTGGTGCTTCTATACCTGTGAGCAATGTGGTATACAGTCTTCATTCAATATACGACTGAAGAGCTAGTGAACCCACTTGGTGCAAAAGCAAGTAAAAGCCATCCTTGAAGGTGTCTTAAGCTACATTGAGGAAGATGCAGAGTGATCCACCAAGCGTCTCAGAACAAGGGCAGAGAATGTGGTCAGATACCAGAATGTCAAGTGGGAGACCCTGTGGCCCTAGAACAGTAGGGCCAGAAAGATAAACAGAGCTGTTTTGTCTCAAAGGATGCCAAGTACTTGGGGGACCATTTGGCTAAGGAAAAAGACTCCATAAAAGCAAAACCTAATGGACAGTATTCAGAAACACAAACAAGCTGTCTCTGATTTGCCCAGGGTTAAATTTCCTTCAGCTGAGCAGAATTACATTGCTTCTGGAGGCTAAATCATGTATCCTCCTTTTCTGTTTTTATTTGGGATGTTTTGACGTGGTGCTTGAAGTAATACATTTAATTAGAATACTTCCGTATATATGTTCCCGTATCCTTGTCTATATATATTCCTATATTCTTGGTCCATAATGTGGCTATGGTAAAAACAGAGTGAAAAATTATTTGGATGTGTTGAAACACACTATTCTAAGAAGCCCTAGCAAATATTTTAGGCACTGTTTACATAAGGTGCTCAATTGTGTTAAAGATCCATCCTAAAATATGCTCACACGTATTGTAACATCATACTTTTCTTGATACAGATTTATTTATGGTACCTACTGAGGAATCACTACTCGTTCCTGCAAGCAAAGCGCTTTTAACTAGAGCAGCTTCTCTGTCTCTGCAGCTCAATGATAGTTATTTCAGACACTGCAGCATACTTTCTTCCCCCGCTTCTCATCATCTTTCTCATATTACGTATCCAGTGTAAAACTTAAATGCGAAGGCTCAAAGAGAGGAGTGAATAACCTCACAAAACGCACATGTGATAGTAAGTGTACATACTTAGCGCTTTTTAAAGGAACTGTTACAATACTTCTGAATTTCAAGTGCAGGGCAGAGAAGTCCACTTATAGACACCCACTCAGAAATGAATGCACTTAGCAGACAGCACATAGGTACTTGTAAGCCTCCAGCTGCGGAAGAAGTGCATTTTGTAGTACAGTTATAAAACAAGCCACAGCAATGCTTCCATTTTTTTTTTCTTAACAAAATACTCCCAATATTCTGCTAGAGAAAAGAAATGAGTCCACAAAATTCAAATCACATTTGATCAAAAAATGGCTCTCCTCGACAGTATGGCAGCAAAACCAAATACAAGGGAAAAAACTCTATTACAATGGATCAAAATCCAAAAATCAAATGTTACTTGATGTTCTCCATAAAATTTAAATATATAAAATCTGCAAATGCTTCAGTCAGTTGTTGTTCCCTTCCATCATTTCCAAATTACAGTCTCTGTCCATGCCATTCATTTGATTTACTCAGCTTGAACAATTTTCATTTGACTCTTATTTACGCATCCTTGCTAATTTAATTTAATCTTCTGATTGTCATTCAGAACACTCATCCCAATATGCCTTGTTCTTTATGCAGTTTGATGCCTTTACATGCTGAATAACTGATAACCAGCCTGTTTAAATCTCTTGCTGCTCTAACATTTTTACACTTTGGAAAATTGAAATATTGCAGCAAGGCTGTTGCCCATACTGCTCCACTCAGGTAAAATCTTACCTAGTATATGAAAGGGGCACCACTGCCCGTGGCAGCTTGCCCTTGCGATAGAGCCACTCTGGGGAGGCTGTACTGTCATCTTTAACTAACGGAGATGCTCAGACTGAAGTAGTGTCTCCCCAGCCTGAAATAAGGGCTTGCAGAAAAACTGACGAGGAAGGAGTCAGAGATTCTCTGTTTCTAGCCAACAGAAAAAGCAGCAAAGAAAGAGACAGTCACACCTTCAGATAACTTTCTCATGTTCTAATAGGACTGCCTCCTATGCCAGATGGGTGGTTTGCTCTACCTCCTCCTGTTCTTCTCTGCCTTTTTATTACAGCCTAATTCTATACCTTTCAGGTTTTTCTTCCTTGCTTTCTCCATCTCACATGCTTCCCTTCAGGGTCGCCCCAACACCCACACAAAACCATGCAGTTACCTTGACTGACTGCTACCATGCAGATTACTCCTGCTGGGGGCTACCTTGTCTGCTTACCCTGGAAGCTCTTTGGAGCAGCGACTGTCACCACTCTGTGCCTATACAATGCCTATCAGAAAGAATCTTCTTTTGATCAGTCCTCTGACACTAATGTAACATGCATGATTAATAAAGTATGTCTATACTCATCAGATAGAGAACTATCAGTGAACAAAAACAAGTTCAGCTTTTGTAATGCTGGAAATGCACAGTTAAATCCACTAAACTTCTACTGGCAGAAAAACATGCAACACATGGAATCCTTAGTAGGAAACAGCAATCAGACTTACTTTGCTCTCTTGGCCATTTCATTGCCATCCCAGCGGGGGCTGTAAGGGTAATTCTTCTGGGCCTGGGAATACAGCTGGCCACTGTTAGTGAAGTGGTAGACAGACTGAAATGTTAGGGTTGGTTGATCTCGAGGAAAGTATAGGGGAAGGTCAACTGAAATACAAAAAGGAAAAGAAAAAAATAGTCATAAAAATTCACCACTTCATTTTGTTTTCCTCTTTTTTTTTTTTTAATTGGGAATATAGAATTCCTTTCTATTGATTTAAAGGTGAGAGAAAAGGATTGATAATTAAAATACACTTCTGTATTTCATATAAGTAATGTTTCCAACACATCACTTTGTTCTATCAAAATGCTTCTGTAAAGTACGTAGTTAAATAACGTTTAGCTAGAGTATTTCTATGTTAATCATAATGTTTACACCATGATTATTTTGTTATCAAAAAATATAACACAGTTATTTTCCTTTACGGTGAAATTCTCCCTTTTTGAAAATTCACAAAATACTTTCTGTTTGTGCTTTCCATTCAAGAAAGAGATTCCACTTCATCTGCTTTAGCCTATTCATTTTGGTGCCCCCATGGACATCATCATTCTCATTTTACAGCTATCTGAGACCTAAAGCGGTTAAATGATTTGATAAAGGATGTAGAAACATTCAGTCACATGAGTTGGAAAAGATCTCCACGTGCTGTCATCTGCTAGACAAAAAAACCCAACCCACAAAGCCAAAAACACACTGCAAAGTCACTAATACCCAAAATACCTCGCTAAAAATAAAAATCAGAACCTCTTAGTTCCCTTTGCTTATCACTGTCTCATGATCAGCCAGGTCTGGCAGAACAATAGTCTGAAACAGTTAATAATATAGTCAGAAACTGTTTCTTAATCTTTTAATTGCTAGATTTATAGTTCAGATTTGCTTGCTCTAATTTTACTTCAGCTTCAGAAATCTGCAGTTAAACTGATTCCTGACAACATACTCGAATTACTTACATTAAATGGCTAATCTAACCCCAAAATCAACAAAAATGTGCATTTCTTTAAAGGTGTAGACTTCACTTTTGTTATCTTTCAAATCCCGGTTCTTTAATTCTGCACGATGAAAGAGCACTGCTATGGAATAGTATCTCCCTGTAAATCTTACATAAATTCCTATTGGTGTAGCGATGAGTCAAATCAATTAATAGGACTATAATTAATCCATATTAGCCTGGGTTCTTGGTATTCTCTCTGTCACTTCAGTCCTTTTTCAAGAGAAGGAAGGACTCCTGAACAGGTTGTAACAGTTGAAGTAGGAATCAAAGCAGGTGGCAAAATCAGCACAAACAGAATTTGAAGTGAAAGGAACATTACAGGACTAAGACCATCCTCAGGCACAACAGGATCTCCCCTCCAGTACACTTGGTAATGTGCTGTATTTTCCACTTTTAAATGCTTCATGGAGCAGAGATTCCAGCACTTCCTCTGAAATCTCTGCTCACAGACTGAGCCATTGGTGTAAGATAGGTTTTATTTTTCCAAATACCACGCTGTCATTCTGTTAGTTTCCTAACTTTTTAGTGTCTTCTAATCACACCTGAAATACTTGGATGCACATCAGACACACCACAGCTCCCTTGCTCCTAAATTACCCTCCAAGCTCTATGAGTAAAACCATTTGTAGCCACGAAGGACACAAAACTGAGTGTCTTTGAACACTGAGACTCAGCTGTAGTCTCAAAATACAACAAATCACTGTGGACAACAGTGTTTGCTCAGTTCATGACCCAGTCTGAGCTACACGTGCTAACTCCCGGAGTTCTGGTGACTCAGCTCACACAGCAGCTTCCAGCAGATACTTAAGCGGTAACGACATGGGCAGAGTTCTGCTAATTTGAGGGCAGATCACTGCTGTAGCAAAGGTTAGATTCAAAGATTGCTCTGTCCAATTCCTCTTTATAACATGATTATTAAATGACAGCCATGAAAAACATTGGTGCATCAAGGCCATTTATCAGCAAGTTCTCTCCTCCCCTCGCAGATGTGCATGCTGCAGCCTGTGAAGGACTTCACCAAGGAAAAGAGTATGAAGCAAGAAAACAGGCTCTCCATTTTAATGTTATAAATATACTTCTGCTCCGAGTGCTTAAATTCTGCTCCTCTAGAGCATCTTTTGCCTTAAGTACCAACTCCTTAACAGTAAACTACTCTGCATACTTGTGGATTCTGTCACTGTGTGAAAGGAATAACAAACCTTAGCAAGACACTTGAGTAATAGTTTAGTCTTTACACTTCACATTTTACTTGCGAATTCCTAAGTTCCATTAGCTTTCCTTTGAAAACCTCTGTATACATAACAGGTGCGAGAAGTAGCAGTTTTCTTCCTGTTACCTAAAGCTACAGGTTTGCACTTAGGAGAAAGTATCTAGCACTAGAAACACTGCTTAAATGGATAATCAAGACATTGCTTTCGCTACAGAGATGCTTCCATTTGTTACAAGAAGCCTCTCTTTCATAAAGATATTCTTCCAACAAAGGTACCACCAAAATAGAAAACATTTTCTTCTTCTATTAACCAAACCCTGTCTAGGAATTTTCAGGAATAACTTACAATAGAAACTGTTAAATCAGATAATCAAACGGGATTTATAATTGTGCATCCCACATCTGGCCAACAGCAGTATCGTCCCAAACTGCCCCACTCCCATTTTTCTAACCCAAGTGTTTCCTTAATGCAAGGTGTGAGATGAGTCCAGACCAAGTAAAAAAACCTGTCCCTAATTCTGGAACACAACCACACCTAAAAGACCAGTAAACAGGAAACAGCCTTGAGTTGTAAAGTGTTATACATATCTCAAGGTAGCCAGCTATTATTTCAGCAGTAGGAAGGGAAGGCAAGAACTCACTTCCGTTGCAGTGGGTGCCCATCCATTGACACTGTGAGGGCACAGAATGCCTGGATTTGGGGTGCAACATTTTACTGTATATGATAAATAAACAAATACCAGTAGTAGTGAACACCAGCAAGGTGATAAAAGGTCACATCCTGCTCACAGTCATGCAGGTTGATAATGTTTCTTTTTACTTGGTAGTATAGGCAATCTGACTCTCAACATTAGTATCAAATCAGATCTCCCTTCATGCAATGGATAAGGTGGCAAAGGAAGCGTTATCATAATTACATCCCAGACAACATTTACACTTTGTCATGAAAAACGTATCACAGTTAAAACCAATGCACTGCTTTTGTAAATCAGCACCTGAACAAGACAAACTATAAGAGCCTGCTTTGGTTTGGCATGCTAGTTACCTAAGAACTAAAAAAAAATGTGTTCATGTTGAATAAAAGTACTATTTCCAAATAACAGCTGACTCATAAAGTACCCTGGTGGTATGTCTGCAGAAAATAAGCAGATGAGTCATGTCTGTAAATTCCTGAAAGTACCAATAGACCCCTTGCTTAGTCATCTTTTGCTCGGATGCTGGGTTCACGAGCTCTGTAAACTATAATGAGGTATCTAGCTTTTAGTAGGACTCTCTCTCTTCTTTTTCCTCTTTAAAACAGTGCAAATTATCTCCCTAAAAATAACTTCATCTACGTAAGTGAGTCACTGCAACTCGCAGGCTTATACAAGTCATGCAGTTAAGAAGTAATATTTGGTTATGAAGGTAAAAATCTTGCTGTCAAGCTCAGATTTAAAATGAAAGTTATGTCAGAGGAAGTCCCATTTACCCCTTCTCTCACAGAAATAGAAACATTTCCTTTGGAAAATTTAAACAATTAGCTCATGCAGGAAAGTAAAGGTTTCCAATTTAGTTCCATGCCCAAAGTAGTTTAATCCTGATGATTTCTTACTTTGGCTTTTCTAAGCATCACACTGTTAACATAAGAGGAGCTTAAAGAAGCAGACTGGAGGAAGAAGCCAGTACCATAGTAAAATACTGCTTTCTCTTGTGTTACAATTTACAGATCATTTTTTAAAAGTCAAGTTTTAGAAAGCCATAATGTGGGGAAAATCACATCTTTATGAAAGCTCTACATGAGCAGAACTCGGAGGGCTGCTTTGGGTAATTAAGCATTGAGTAAATTCTTTGGTGATTGAACCCTAATTTTCCCACACAGTTCATAAGAAAGCAAAAGAAAAAGGACTTGCTTGTTGAGAATGAGTCATGTTGTAAAGAAACTTAATTACAGTTTATAAATAGTTGAAGTTGCTCTCTTTTGGAAACGTAAGAAACTACCGAGAAGTAACACATAAATTTGCTTCTCTTGACTTAGCATTTAATGCATACATATATTCAAAACACAGTCATCTTAAAGCCAAAATCCTGATTCATTAATAACTAAAAATCTGTGCAATGAATCAGTAAGGTTTAATTGTTCATTTTCTTAAAGAACAACCATCTGAGATCTGGAACAGGTTACATGTTTGTTAAGCTTATGTCAACAACCACAGAGTTGATTTTGACAGTCTTATTAACTTCAAAACAATATCTTTAGCATCTAGTTTTATAGCTTTTTAAAGAGGGTATGAAATGTGGAAGGGATAAAAGCGAAAACATGCAAAAGCATACACCAGTGCAGCCACAGGGTTTCTGAAGCTAAAAATGCTCAGAAGAAAAAAGACAGGGTTACCACAGCGCTCCCCTCCCTGCCTTTAAGTACTGGAGAGAAGAGAAGGGAAAACAAACCCATGGCTGAAATGCATGCTGACCATACAAACATTTCAATGTACTTAGATGGTAATACTGAGAAAATTTTCCATATACTGTTCCCCTGTTCTACAGAAAAGGTTTATTTATCCTTTGGATGGCACTGGGTAAATCTAGATATTTGTTTTCACAGAAGTCAACATTTACTCACTGACTGTTACACACCATTTTAATGCTTGGATGAGACTATACGGGTTATCTTATTAACCTCCTGGATGCTTGAATCTGCTGCAGTTAACTGCACCTATCATTTCTTATACCCTCATAAACACTAGCCGATCTGGCTATTTTACTGGTGAGACTCCTACAAGTTTTCATGGCCTGCATAACCTTAATTCAATCTCTGCTTGCTTTACGGAGCAGCCTTCAAACACAGGGTAACACACTCAGTATTCTTTCCAGTTCTGTGCCTAGGCTGGACAGAGGTGGCCAAATGGGTCACTGTTCTGGTTTGCCCC